TTTTTAGAGCACGGTGGTGGAATTGTTTTATAGAAACAATTGATCTCTCATGCTTCACTTAGATTATTTTGAGAGTCTTAAATAGCATGGTAATTTGCTTAAATAATCCTAATATGCTTGGTATTCAAAGATTATTAAAAACTTTCTTATGAGTGTGTTGAATACTATGAGAACTTTGATACTTGATAATTGTTTTGAGATATGAAGATGGTAATATTAAAGTTGTGCTAGTTGAGTTGTTGTGAATTTGATAAATACTTGTGTTAAAGTTTGTGATTCCCGTAGCATGCACGTATGGTGAACCGTTATGTGATGAAGTCGGAGCATGATTTATTTTTTTGATTGTCTTCCTTATGAGTGGCGGTCGGGGACGAGCGATGGTATTTTCCTACCAATCTATCCCATAGGAGCATGCACGTAATACTTTGCTTTGATAACTTGTAGATTTTTGCAATAAGTATATGAGTTCTTTATGATTAATGTTGAGTCCATGGATTATATGCACTTTTCTTCCTTCCACCATTGCTAGCATCTCTAATACCGCGCACATTTCGCTGGTATTATACACCCACCATATACCTTCCTCAAAACAGTCACCATACCTACCTACTATGGCATTTCCATGGCCATTCCGAGATATATTGCCATGCAACTTTCCACCGTTCCGTTTATTATGACACACTCCATCATTGTCATATTGCTTAGCATGATCATGTAGTTGGCATCGTATTTGTGGCAAAGCCACTATTCATAATTCTTTCATACATGTCACTCTTGATTCATTGCATATCCCGGTACACCGCCGGAGGCATTCATATAGAGTCATATTTTGTTTTAAGTATCGAGTTGCAATTGTTGAGTTGTAAGAAAATAAAAGTGTGATGATCATCATCATTAGAGCATTGTCCCAGTGAGCAAAGGATGATGGAGACTATGATTCCCCCAAAAGTCGGGATGAGACTCCGGACGAAAAAAAGCCATAAAAAGGAGAAAAGGCCCAAATAAAAAAATGAGAGAAAAAGAGAGAAAGGACAATGTTACTATCCTTTACCACACTTGTGCTTCAAAGTAGCACCATGATATTCATGATAGAGAGTCTCTCATTTTGTCACTTTCATATACTAGTGGGAATTTTTCATTATAGAACTTGGCTTGTATATTCCAATGATGGGCTTCCTCAAAATGCCCTAGGTCTTCATGAGCAAGCAAGTTGGATGCACACCCACTTAGTTTCTTTTGTTGAGCTTTCATATACTTATAGCTCTAGTGCATCCGTTGCATGGCAATTCCTACTCACTCACATTGATATCTATTGATGGGCATTTCCATAACCCGTTGATACGCCTAGTTGATGTGAGACTATCTTCCCCTTTTTGTCTTCTCCACAACCATCATTCTATTTCACATATAGTGCTATATCCATGGCTCACGCTCATGTATTGCGTGAAGATTGAAAAAGTTTGAGAATGTCAAAAGTATGAAACAATTGCTTGGCTTGTCATCGGGGCTGTGCATGATTTAAATATTTTGTGTGGTGAAGATAGAGCATAACTAGACTATATGATTTTGTAGGGATAACTTTCTTTGGCCATGTTATTTTAAGAAGACATGATTGCTTTGTTAGTATGCTTGAAGTATTATTATTTTTATGTCAATATTAAACTTTTATCTTGAATCTTTCAGATCTGAATATTCATACCACAATTAAGAAGAGTTACATTAAAATTATGCCAAGTAGCACTCCACATCAAAAATTATCTTTTTTATCATTTACCTACTTGAGGACGAGCAGGAATTAAGCTTGGGGATGCTTGATACGTCTCCAACGTATCTATAATTTTTGATTGCTCCATGCTATATTATCTATTGTTTTGGACATTATTGGGCTTTATTATCCACTTTTATATTATTTTTGAGACTAACCTATTAACTGGAGGCCCAACCCAGAATTGCTATTTTTTGCCCTATTTTAGGGTTTCGAAGAAAAGGAATATCAAATGGAGTCCAAACAGAATGAAACCTTCGGGGACGTGATTTTCTCAACGAACAAGACCCAGGAGACTTGGAGCCTACGTCAAGCAACCAACAGGGAGGCCACGAGGTAGGGGGCGCGCCTCCCTCCCACGCGCGCCCTCCATCCTCGTGGCCCCCTTGTTGCTCCACCGACGTACTTCTTCCTCCTATATATACCTATGTACCCTCAAACGATCAGATACGGAGCCAAAACCCTAATTCCACCGCCGTAATTTTCTGTATCCACGAGATCCCATCTTGGGGCCTGTTTCGGAGCTCCGCCGGAGGGGGCATCCATCATGGAGGACTTCTACATCAACACCATAGCCTCTCCGATGAAGTGTGAGCAGTTTACCTCAGACCTTCGGGTCCATAGTTATTAGTTAGATGACTTCTCTCTTTTTGGATCTCAATACAATGTTCTCCCCCTTTCTTGTGGAGATCTATTCGATATAATCTTCTTTTTGCGGTGTGTTTGTTGAGACCGATAAATTGTGGGTTTATGATCAAGATTATCTATGAACAATATTTAAATCTTCTCTGAATTCTTTTATGTATGATTGGTTATCTTTGCAAGTCTCTTCGAATTATCGGTTTGGTTTGGCCTACTAGATTGATCTTTCTTGCAATGGGAGAAGTGCTTAGTTTTGGGTTCAATCTTGCGGTGTCCTTTCCCAGTGACAGTAGGGGCAGCAAGGCACGTATTGTATTGTTGCCATCGAGGATAACAAGATGGTTTTTTTATCATATTGCATGAATCTATCCCTCTACATCATGTCATCTTGCTTAAGGCGTTACTCTGTTTTCATGAACTTAATACTCTAGATGCATGCTGGATAGCAGTCGATGATTGGAGTAATAGTAGTAGATGCAGGCAGGAGTCGGTCTACTTGTCTCGGACGTGATGCCTATATACATGATTATACCTAGATATTCTCATAACTATGCTCAATTCTGTCAATTGCTCAACAGTAATTCGTTCACCCACCGTAAAATACTTATGCTCTCGAGAGAAGCCACTAGTGAAACCTATGGCCCCCGGGTCTATCTTCATCATATTAATCTTGCAATACTTAGTTATTTCCTTTGCTTTTTTACTTTGCTTTTATTTTACTTTGCATCTTTATCACAAAAATACCAAAAATATTATCTTATCAGATGTCACTCTCATAAGTGACCTTGAAGGGATTGACAACCCCTTATCGCGTTGGTTGCGATGAGTTATTTGTTTTGCGCAGGTACGAGGAACTCGCGCGTAGCCTCCTACTGAATTGATACCTTGGTTCCATTGTTGAGGAAATCATTAACTGGTAACTGCTCGGTCGGCTGGTGAGTAGGGGATTAATAGGCTAATCGGCAAGCTAATCGGCCATTTAATCAATTAATTGGACGATTTATCGGGTAATCGACTACTCGGGCACCCTATGAGTAGGGATTAATCGGCAAGTTAACTGGTTAATCGGATAAATTCTTGAACAGGGCTTGGTTCTCAAAAACCGAGGGAAATACTTACGCTAATTTGCAGCATCTCCTTTCCTCTTCAAGAAAATCCAACGCAGTGCTCAAGAGGTAGCAAGGCGCATCACGCGGCAGAATCGGGGCGCCGGCCGCGAGCGATTGCATCGCGGGTGATCGAGGCGGTGCAGGAGGATGCGACCCCGACTCGGTCGATCGGGCCTAAGCGAGCGGAGGCGACGCCAGGAACGGAGACTCCATCGCTAGGGTTGACAGAGGCGGCGCGACGGTAGTGGCCGACGCGGCGGCAACAAAGGAGGCGGAAGCGTGACGCGGATCGAACACGTCGTCTGATACCATGTTAGACATACTAGGGTTTGGAACAATGCTTGATATCCTTGGTGGGTACGACTGTTATATATTTATAAGAGGGAACCGTACAAATACAGGTTATGTTACAACACGTATATCTAATATATACTTAGTCTAACAGTAGCCAGCTGCAACGCGAGACCCAAGACCCTTTATGAGGATGTAAGATGGGTCAACTATTGATAAACTAGTACATATTTAAAACTTAATATTGTACATGTCGGCTAAGACTAGCCACAGTGGGAGTAACTTCAGCAGTAACTTCAAGTCCAACTCAACAAATTTATCTATGTGGCAATAAGTTAATGAAGAGAGAGGTAGTTCTAGTAACTTAGCTAGTTACTGTAACATCACATGTCCCAATGCAGTATGAGTCTATAACCTAATAAATGGAGCTTTGCATAACACCCACTACGAAGGTAGTAACATAGTCTATAACCTCTCTCTCAGTTTACAGGGCGTGCGCGTGCCCCTAGATCGTTAATTTGACCAACTTAATACAAGTTATATATTATAAAAAATATACCAATATAAACTTCAAATGCTCTATTTTCAAACCGTATAATTTTTGTGTTATATAGTTTATATTAAGGTGATAAAATTGGCAACCTAGGTATACGCGTAGGACTTATAAACTGAAACGGAGTTAGTAATGTATGTTACTCTCCATTGTGGCTAGTCTAAGAGGTTGGTTGTAGATGACATGTCAACTTTTTATAGCCGACTGTTGGCTGTATTATTATCCATGCTCTTAGCGTTGATAGTCTTCATGTGGAGGTTGCGGTGGAGTTGAGAGGGAGAAGCATGGTAGATTTTTCGCGTTTGCTTCCTGTCGTAGGTTGTTTAGTTTGGATGCTTGGGTTTTCTTTAATGAAAATCGGAAGGGGACGTCCTTCTTTTATAAAAAAAACAGGGAGCAAGATTTTCTTTTGAGAAAGTAAAAAGTCCTCGTTACATTTTTCGTTTGAGGAACAAGTCCTCGTTACATGAGCCCTGTGCAGTCCGGAACTACAAAAGCCCAGAAGCAAAGACGAATCTTGCCGTCGGCACGGTTCCAGCCCGCCAAAGAGATTCCAGCGTGCCGCCAGCGTTCACGCCTCTCTCCCCTCCCCGCCAGCCAGCCAGCCGCCAGAGGAGGAGGAGGGGAAAGTGGATCGACGATGATGTGGGGAATAGCAGCCGCCGTGGCGTCCGCGGCCGCCGTCGCCGTGGCCTCCGGCGCGGAGCTCCTCGCGTGCGACCGCGCCCCGACGCCGCCGACCGCCGCCGCGGTCGTCGTCGGCAGATGCGACGGGTTCCTCTTCCGACAGCGGGTACGTGCTGCGTCCGCGCGGGTCGCTGTTCCGTTTCCTCCCCTGCCTCCTCCCCCAGTCTTCCCCTCCCAAAGAATCTCCTCCTTCCTTGGATAGCAATCCCCGTTTCGATTCGGGATCACGACGGCGTCTTGAACTGTTTTGTACTACTTCCTGCTGCTTTCGCAGGAATCCTCGTCGTCGAGCGGCCGGGACGACAGGTTCGCGCCGAGGTTCGACGGGCTGCGGTTCGTCGAGACGCTCGTCACGGCGCACCGCTGAAATCGCCGGAAGATCGACCCGCCGGCCGGGCGGCTCCCAGCCGGCACTGTTCATCAGGGGATTCTTTCCTACCGCCCTCTTCATGCGATTCGCGACAAGAGGCTAGCTGCTACACGGTTAATTCGGCGATTGGTGGCCAATATGTTGCCAAATTTTTGCTAGGACAAATTTTGAGATTTTTTTTCCTAGTGATGATGGTCGTCCTGTTGTTGAGTGATGCGGTTGAATTGGAACCTTCAAGTGGCATGTGATGATTGTATGTGCTTGTGCTAGCATTGGTTCTTTCCCTGATTTGTTGTGCAAGCACGATGTGCTATGATTTCACCCCCAAACTTGCCATTCTCGTGTGTTGTCTTTTGTGTGTGGTCGGTCTTGTTCTGGAGCAAAACACTCGGTAGATGCTTTCTGAAATGAAAATCGGTAGATGCCAGACACCATTTAAATGAGCAAAACACTCAACCATCCGTGCTAGCGTAAGAGGTAAAACCAGATGCATCATTTTACCGACTCCAGCCTCCAGGAATGATTGTGCATGTTCGGTTCAAGTATACTCCTTTTTTTTTTTTGAAAAGGAGGCGTGCCTCCGGGCCCCGGGCTCTGCATCTGAATGATGCATGCAGCCATATTATTAAAAGTCTTGAAAAACAAATAGTATCCCTCGCAAAAGGAGCAGGATGGCAAAGCCATAAAAGACCTCAAGATTACAACCGATGATGATAACAGGACTAGAGACCTAAACTCCTATCCTGTTAAGCGACCGCCATCCAAATTGCTTGAATATAACCCGTGCTATCATCTTCCATTGGTTGCACCCAGTAACCAGCGGCTCCCTGAATTCCGTAGGAGTGAGTAAGGACCACGTACGGATCCATGCAGTAGCTCTGAAGATAACCTGCAAGAAGTTTAAAAATTGTTGCCCGTTAAAGATCATATCATTCCTGCAGTTCCATATAGCCCACAAAAAAGCACATATTCCAACTCGAATATGACTCGCAGTATTGCGATCCACCCCATCTAACCACGTCCCAAACAACGATTCAATGTTAATTGGAGGGGCAATGTTGAAAGCTATATGAATAGTGCGCCATAAAAGTTTAGCCAAAGGACAATCGAGGAAGAGGTGTTGTATTGTTTCATTATTATCACAAAAACAATATCGTGAGCTGCCTACCCAATGTCGTTTTAACAGATTGTCTTTGGTGAGGATCACTTGTTTATGCACGAACCACATGAAAATTTTGATACGCAAGGGGACCTTAACTTTCCAGATATGAATGGATCTCGGGAGGAAGCCAGAGTTAATTAGGTCCAAATAAAATGATTTGACCGTGAATGAGCCATTCTTGGTCAGTGTCCAATGTAAGGAATCCGATTGGTCGGTTAATTGTACATCCATTACTCTCCGTACCAGATGTATCCATGACTTCCATCTCTCCCCAACCAAAGATCGCCTAAACTGAATATTTAGAGGTACCGATTGTAATATCGTACCAACGTAATCTTCTTTACGTTGGACAATATTATATAGACTTGGATATTGAACAGCTAAGGGCGTCTCCCCTAGCCATGTATCCTCCCAAAATCGTGTTGACATCCCATTGCCAATAGTGAATTTGGTTCTACGAAAGAATAAGTCTTTAGTTCTCATTAGGCCCTTCCAAAAAGGCAAATCGGATGACCTCGCGTTAACTTGTGCTAGAGTTTTGGACTGTAAATATTTGTTGCGTAGAATTTGTGCCCACATCCCGTCGTTCTCTACCGAAAGCCTGAAAAGCCATTTGCTTAAAAGACATTTATTCTTGATCTCTAGATTCTCAATGCCGAGACCCCCCTGATCCTTAGGTCGACATAATATGTCCCAGCGAGCTAAGCGGTATTTCTTCTTGGCCTCATCAGACTGCCAGAAGAATCGAGATCGGAAGAAGTCTAGTCTCCTTCGTACCCCTTTAGGTACCTCAAAAAAGGAGAGCAGAAACATCGGCATACTTGTCAAGAAAGAGTTAATGAGTACTAGTCGACCACGGTAGGACATTAACTTGCCTTTGCAACAACTTAACTTCTTTTCAATTCGATCCTCGATGCACTTCCACTCCTTAATGAATAATTTCCGATGATGAATAGGTATGCCCAAATAGCTAAAAGGCATTGACCCTAGTTCACAACCGAACAAAAATTTGTAAGTATCTTGCTCATCTTTGGCCCTACCAAAGCAAAATAACTCACTTTTGTTAAAGTTTATTTTTAGTCCCGATAATTGCTCGAATAGACATAAAACCAATTTCATATTCTGAGCTTTTGCAACATCATGCTCCATGAATATAATAGTGTCGTCTGCGTATTGGAGAATCGATACTCCACCATCCACCAGATGGGGAACTAAACCATCTACTAGGCCATTCTCCTTAGCCCTGCGAATAAGCACGGTTAACATATCTGCCACTATATTAAACAAGAGCGGAGACATTGAATCCCCTTGCCTCAACCCCTTGTGTGTCTGAAAATAGTGGCCTATATCATCTTTAACCTTAATCCCGACACTACCTTTTTGGACAAGAGAATCCACTTGGCTCCTCCAAGCTTCAGAAAAACCTTTCATGCGCATAGCTTGCTGAAGAAACGTCCATTTCACTTTATCATAAGCCTTTTCGAAATCCACTTTAAAGATAACCCCATCTAGTTTCTTCGAATGGAGTTCGTGGATCGTTTCATGTAGAACCACTACCCCTTCTAGGATGTGTCTACCAGGCATGAAGGCCGTCTGACTCTCTTGAACCACAGAATGGGCGATCTGCGTCAGCCAATTTGTCCCCACCTTCGTGAATATCTTGAAACTCACGTTTAAGAGACAGAACGGCCTAAACTGCTCAATACGAATCACCCCTTCTTTCTTTGGTAATAGAGTAATCGTACCAAAGTTTATATGGAACAGTTCTAGATGCCCATTAAACAAATCGTGGAACATGGGCATCAGGTCATCTTTAATGATATGCCAACATTTCTTATAAAACTCCACTGGAAACCCGTTTGGTACCGGTGCTTTATTTGGTTTCATTTGTGTTATGGCATCCAAAACTTCCTTTTCAGTGAAAGGCGCAGTTAGGAACTCATTCTGTTCTGTCATGAGCTGAGGAATATCTCCAGTGTCAGACTCATTCATGGACACCGTGCTCTCTGCCGGTGGCCCGAATAATTGTTTATAGTAATTGGAGATATATAGTTTAAGGTTTTCATGACCTACAATGGTTCCTTCATCCTGCTCGAGCTGAATTATTTTCTTCTTTCTATGTTTGCCATTTGCAATCATATGAAAGAATTGTGTATTATCGTCTCCATGAACAACCTTGAGAGTCTTAGCCCGTAATGCCCATTTGAGTTCCTCTTCTCTCATAAGGACTCGTAGGCTTTGTTCCGCTTCAGATTTCATGGTGTGTTCATTTACGTCTAGCAGTGTCCCCTCTGCTTTAATGTCCAGGGAATCAATTAGTTGAAGGAGCCTTTCTTTCTCCTTTTTGTAAATGCCACTCTCGTTCCTTGCCCAACCCCTAAGAAATTGTCTTAGATGACGGATCTTGTTCTGCCATCTCTCCATGCTTGTGTGTCCAGCAACAGGCTTTGACCATTCATGTGCAATGATGGCCACATTTAGCACCTCAAGTGTTTCACATCTAACCCCTAGTAATATCCCACCAGATCTTCCTCTAGGGGGTAGACAGTGCCAGTCAAAATCAATTCCACCCGACAGAGTTCCGAGGAATTGTGAGGTAAAATTATCTCTACTGGTTTCGAGTAGTGCAATAAAATCGAGCTTGTGTTCTACCGATGTATCTGCAAGGAACCTTCTTTTAGCCAAGTCAGCTAGACCTCTGCTATTTCAAAAGATTCCTCTCATAGGTCGTCGTGGAATTTATTTTTAAGTTTAATCCTAGTACTCCTCCGAACAGCTGAAGTCGGATATATCTTCCTTCTCCAGGACCGTTTGGGCTTACCCTCTATATTTAACGTACCTACATCAATAGGGTGACTGGGGATATAATCTGCCGCCGGCATAAGGTCTACACTGTCCTCAGTGTCCGATCCTAGTGGGTCCCCATCGATCTCCAAGGGTGGCATTAGATTATCACATAAATTTTGTATAGCCGAAATTCCTAATTGATTCACTTCATCATTATTCATTAGTTTAACGGCCTCCAAATTTCGAATAATATCAGAGGCCCACTCTGCTCCTAAGTCTAAAAGGTCATTAATCGATTTCGCAACTTCCTTTGCGTTCGATCCCAAAGAAACTCCTATGTTGTTGGCTTTATCTAAAATATCATGCTCTGAAAAAAGTAAGATAGAAGAACTCTTATGTACCGACATACCTGTAGTTGCCTCGACATCTTGAAGTTTGGCCGCCCTCATGGCACGCCCCAACTGCAGGTCATCCGCGTCTGGTTGATCTTGGATCCGATCACTGACACGCCTGCCAGCCATCACCGGATCTTCGATCCCACCAAAAGCGATAATCTCGTCCATAGTCCTCTCCCGAGCAGGAACTCCCGTAGTGGCACGCACACCCATCGAGGTTGGTGTAGAGATGCGCGCGGGTGGAACAGCACCGTTCAGCACCGGCGAAGGAAGAGGTTGCGGAGCCTCCTGCTCAGCTGCCCTCTTGTGGCCGTTGACGCAAACTGGAGACACCATGGTTGGGGTGAAGGCCTCCTGCCCATGTCCCTGAACCATCCCAGTATCCTGCTCATATTTCTTCGGCGAGTTTGGGGCGTCTCCCAACCTGGTTCCTTGCCCATGGTTTTTCGGCGAGGTGCTTTGTGTATTGCCCAAAAGGGCGCCCCAGCCTCCCAGATCCCGAACTCGCCCGCTAGAGTAACTGGGAACCGATGGAGCTGGCGGCACCTCTCCCGACTTCGCCAACATGGTGGCATCACGACAAGGAGATGTTATGGGAGATGTGATATCCCTCCGGCCGGCCCCTCCCATCGGATTCAATCGGTTGCAATGTC